AAAAAAAAAAAAAAAAAAAAAACTCAAACAAACAAAAAAGCGTATTCATCACAGTTGTTTCAAATTCCCAATTTGATGATTTTAATATCTTTGCCTTATCTGAGTGTAGCTTGGACACTCTGTCTCCTTAAGCCCTGTTTTTCCTTTTCATGTTGCCTCGTAGCTTTATCTTTCTAGCTAGACATGACGCACTGGGCAAAGGAATGGGGGTCATGTCCTGTGGTGGTGCGGGCAGCCTTCTGCAGTCCTATGCACTGGTGAGCCTGTGTCTCAGGACTGTGACGGTCACAGTGCCACGTGGCCCTCCCCTGGCCTCAGGTGGAGTAGGATGCCTGGAGTAGGCTGCGGTTAGCCGTTTCCTTTCCCCTGGGTCACTGAGGAGCTGATAAAACCCAGAAGTTCAAGCTCTGCTGAAGTATCTTCTCCTTGGGGCAGTCCTTATTAAGAAGCACAGAATGCTCTAGCCTGTTTCAAAATGGTTAGTTTTCCCCTCCTCTTCCCTTTGGGGAGAAGGCAGAGATTTTCCTCATATGGTTCCTTGTCTACTTCCTCATAGAGTTACTTCCTCATAGAGTGGAATACACTGTGTGCATGTGACTCGCAGATGAGGAAGGGAACAGGCTGTCTCCTTGTGACCTGTTTGGATCCAGAATTTAACTAAGCTTTTTTTCTTTTTTTTCCCAGAGAAATCAGTTAAGTTTTTGAGGCAGAATTTGCTCCCCCAAAGGAATCTTAAATGTGATGTTTATTTGTTCATCCTCATTTCATCTATGCAGAGTGCCTGGAAAGAAATAATGAAAAACTGTGTTAAATCTGTGAGGCAATGTGATGGATGATTTTAACTGTGGGATGGGATGAATGGTGGTTTTGTATTTTTTTTTTCTGCATTTTCTACATTCTACTATGTATGTTAGTTTTTTTGTTTTTTTTAAAAATTCTATTTTAGGCCATTAACATTTGAATGTGTCTCTTTACAGTCTGCAAAATGAATGTTCACCGTCGATGTGAGACCAATGTAGCACCCAACTGCGGGGTGGACGCTAGAGGGATCGCCAAAGTGCTGGCCGACCTTGGAGTCACTCCGGACAAAATCACCAACAGTGGCCAGAGGAGGAAAAAGGTAACCCTCTACGCCTGGAGTTTCTGCACCTGGTGCTGGGCCACGGCTCTGTGCTGGGCTTGTTGCTAGAGTTATTGAGAGTGCTCTGGGCAGAGACTGTTACATTCCTGGGCTTGAGACATTTTACTCAAAGTAGCACTGCTTAAAGACAGAAAGAGCCAGGCATGGTGGGCTGTGCCTCCAATGAGGAGGCGGAAGCAGCAGGAGCATAAGTCTAACTTCCTGTGTCAAAATAAAATAATATGAAAAGGTTTGAAGGAAGGAGGAAAGAAAGAAAGCGGGGGAAGAGGAGGGAGGAAGAGAGGGCAGGAGAGGGGAGGGGCGGGAAGAAGGAGTGCAGAGGAGTCAGAAAGGAAAGGAAAAGGGGTGGGGGAGAAGAGTCAGACGACAGCTGCTGAAAAGAGGGTGACAATAAAGCAAGGCTTTAGAGTTAGCATTTGTCAGAGAAGCAGAAGGTTTGAGGAAACAAAGTTTGAGGTGAGGCCTTTGAGATTCCTTCTAGACAATGCATAACAACTGCTTACAGAGTGGTAGACTTCCCTGCCTGCGTCTGTCACTGAAATAAGGCCAAAGTCTGAACTTCTCTTTGGTGGTGGTGTTGGGAAGATACATGGACACAGGGCTGGAGCCACCTTCACCTCTAGGAGAAGCCAAAATCTGTTGTACCAGCACTGAGCTGCCTGGGGAACACTGTGAAAGCCCCATGCCATGGAATATCAGGGCCTTTCTTTGGAGACAAAATCACCGTCTCTGTCCACATGACGTCAGGGGTAGAGCTATTTGCACAATAATTGTTATTTTGATAAATCAGGGCCCACAGATGTAAATAGAGCTAAAGGATGTGTATCAGGCTCTTCTTTAACCTGACGCCTAGGGTTGAAAATGGAAGAGCAAGTTGGCATGGTGGAGCTCACCTGTAATCTCAGCTACTCAGGAGGCCGAGGCAGGGGCATCCCAAGTTTGAGGTCAGCTTGGACAATTCAGTGAGCTCCTGTATCAAAGTAAAATAAAATAAAATAATAAGCAAACAAATAAAGTCAGGAATGTGGGGTTATAGCTTAGTGATAGAGCACCCCTGGGTTTGATTCTGGTAACACACACACACACACACACACACACACACACACACACACACACACACGGGCGCACATAATCAGGAGGCCGAGGCAGGGGCATCCCAAGTTTGAGGTCAGCTTGGACAATTCAGTGAGCTCCTGTATCAAAGTAAAATAAAATAAAATAATAAGCAAACAAATAAAGTCAGGAATGTGGGGTTATAGCTTAGTGATAGAGCACCCCTGGGTTTGATTCTGGTAACACACACACACACACACACACACACACACACACACACACACACACACGGGTGTACATAGATGGACTCTGAATAGTAAGAGAGAACCAGAACCATGCAGCCTGTTGTGAGTGGTGTAGGTATGGTTCTGGTGGCATTTTCAAGTGCTTTACCACAAAAGCAGATTTGATGCTAGGGACCTCTATGGTCTTGGCTTCTAGGAGTCTTCCTTAAATTTTGCTCTGAATGCCTTCTGAGGTACCCCACATTTCCTAGGCTTCTTGATTGAGAACCTGCTTGTGTCTTCTCCCTGGTGCCACCAGAAGAGCTCTTTCTCTCCTGAAGGGAAGGTTGGACTGTTTCCAGCCTTCCTGCTTAGCTGGGAGATCTCCTGTTTTGGGCAGCACTTCTCGGTCCTGTTAATCTCACCTAAAGAAACCCAACTTCAGCTGTTGATCCGAGGCACTGAATTCGCAAGCAAACACTAGTACCCAAGACACCGGGGCCCCCAGAGTGGTGGATTAGGCACTCTGTGCCCATGATGTTAGATGGGCATAGTTTTGAGATCTAGAGAGTGCCTTTCTCAAGGACAGGATGTTTTCTCCTTGCTGAAGTAAAGTAAGATGGTCTCTTTCATTGTCATGAGACATTTAAGAAAACGTAGTGCCTGTCCTCTTTCCTACATTAATGTGGGCTGCAATGCTAGTAACTGGCATCTTCTTCTGGATGTGCATTTGGGGCAAGCTGGTAGCAAGAAGCCAACATGGAGAAATCCAGAAGGGGACAAGAATAAAAGCTAAGGGATCATAGTCCTGATGTTGTTATTACTTTGATGCTTCTGATGTAAAAGCTGGGAAAAAGCCAAGTGGTGGCTTACGTTAGTGTGAAGGACAGGAGCAATGTGCCCTTGGTCAGCAGCTAGGTCTTCTTGCAGGAGTGTCAGACCTGCTGGGGCTTTGGTTCCCTCTTTGTCTCAGAAAGGACAAAGGCACACTGTGGGCCAGGCACACACAGAGGCAGGGGTTCTTGGGAGCTCTTACTCCAAACTGCCCCTGGAAGGATGACTTGAAGTGGACATGTCCACACTCAGCCAGGAAACTCACTCTACTGGGGATATTCTGTCCAAAGCTGCCAACAGACAGCAATATATCAGAAAATATTTACTGAGCTCCTGTTGTATTACTTTGTGCACTTCACTAGGGGAGGGGAAGGGCTACATAGTCTCACCTTCAAAGTCTGTGGTCCAGTTGAGTAGAGAATCCCACACAATGTGCAAACACAGATGTTGTTAAGGTTATAAAGCTGAGTAAGGTAGTGAGTGTCAAACAGGTGGAGAGATGGCCAGCCTCATATTGCTTTTGGTGAGAGACCTGCCTTGCCTGGATAGACAGAGGGAGGCTTGCACTGAAGAGGTTGGTGAAGCTTTGCTTAGAAAGGTTAGTTGTCTTTGGAGAGAATACACATTGAACAGACCAGTCACTCACTTTCATCCCTTTCACTGGAGAGTGAAACTTTGAGTCTGGTCTTAGGGTATCCAGTCAGTAAGTGGTGCAACACACTGCATCCCTAACAGCTCTGGGTGCAGAGAACTTCATGCCCTGGACCTGAGGGAAACCCATGACCCTCCTTTCTGATGCCTCTCTCCCTTCTTCTGCCTTCTCTCTAGCTCGTTGCTGGTGCCGAGTCCCCCCAGTCTGCTTCTGGAAGCTCCCCATCTGAGGAAGATCGATCCAAGTCAGCACCCACCTCCCCTTGTGACCAGGGTGAGACCCCCAGACTTCCTTCTTCCTCCTGAGCCCTTTAATGGAAGGACCAAGGAGTGTGAGCCCAATCCACCTGGAGGCGTGTCCTTGGCAGTGGTCCCTGCACACCCTCTCCCTGTTGATTCAACCTGTCCTCTGCGATGTTGTCTAGAGAGTTGGGCACTAGATGGCAATGCTTTCATTTGATTCCTTCCAGGCCAGGGTGAGAAAGAGCCAGTGTATACAATATCATGGTTTTTTCTTTTCCCTGCCTCTCTCCCTGGTTCCAAGGGCAGAGAGGAAGAGGAGTGCAGCTGCTCCCTGCACCTTCAGCCCCAGTGTCTAGCTCTGGACTTTTTAGTGCACACACACACACACACACACACACACACACACACACCTGGCACCAACCATCTCACCCCAAAACTGTCATCAGGTTGAGCTGGAAGATGGATATGAGAGGACGTATCCTGTACTAATCTGTGAGTAGGGACAAAAAGATAGTGTTGTAGAAGAAACTGAAATGAGGAGTGAGCTTTAGGCCCATCCCTCCTCTTAGACCATAGAGGTCCTAGCTCAGCTCTGGATATTTCTGTCTGGTTATGGTAAAGTAGGAAGTTCTGCAGACACAATATGAATAAAAAAACAATTTTGTGGAATCATTGCAAAGAATTCTGGGGCTGACCAGGGACTCACACATGTAAAGCCTTCTCCTCCGATGCCCAGCACCAAACATCTGTGGGGGAATTAGTCCTCTGAACGCTATAGTTCCCTGATGTTCTGTAACTCCTTTTGTGTCTATTTTCCTAACTCCACATGGTGCTTGGTTACTGCCCCCAGGATGCAGGGTGAGAAGTGGGAGGCCAGGAGTTGAAAGCTTTATCCCAAGATCAAGAGCCAAGGTGGTGACAAGGGTGGGCCTGTGCCATCCAGTCCCCCCAGAGGTCATCACCAGGCGCCCAGCCCTTCTTACCCAGGAGTGAGTCAGACAGCTGCAGGGACTGTGTCTCAGTCCCAAGGCCCCAAGATATTTGGTCTCATTTGTTCTTTGTGTTGCTCCAATTCGCTTTCTGTGTCTTTACTTCATCCCCAAAGAGGTTTAACCCATTCATGAATGGCAGGTCTTGTTCTGGGCCAATGTGGGCATTTTTATGCTCCCTTTTCAGTGCTGAGACATCCTATGGGAGCTTTAAGGAGACAGGTTCAGATGGTGAAGAGACCCAAGCGTGGGTGAAGGGCCCTGGTGTTCATGCCTGGCTCCTGTCACCTGGCCTTGGCAAGACACAGTACCTCTCACATCCAAGTACGCAGAGGTGCCCGGATGTCCCAGCAGGGACGTGAGTGCTAGTAGACAGGAGAGTCCTTTTCTCAAGACGTGGCTTTGTCATCAAACAGAAGTGAACCATTTTTCTTCTTTCCTCCTCTGTGAGAACATAGACAATTTCTTCAAGCTCTGATGTCCTGAAAGTCTAGAGTCTATCTTTCAAAAGCCATTTGGTAACAGATTTTTAGCTCTCTGGTAAGACTAATGGCAGATTTAGTGAAAACTGCATTCATTGCTGGATTTGGGTGTAGGGTATCCATAGGTGCAGAAGCTGTCCTGTCTTTCTCCTCCCCAACACAGCTGCCCTGACCTGCCCCAGAGGAGCTTACCCTGTATCTAAGAAGCTCTCCAGAGTCCTAGGATGGGCTTTTACAGGACTCAGTTCTTTGGAAAAGAAGTTTAAGATCTTTCTGTCAAGAGATACTGGGTCACTCACACCCAATTCAGATTCCCAGGAGTGAATAATCTCTGGTGCCTCCTGTAATCCAGGTTTTGAATAACTTTGAGAATTGGGTTATCTCAGGATTCCTACTTCTACACAACTGAGTGTAGGCTGGTGAATGAACAGCCAACTATAAAGTTTCTTCAAATAGAAAAGGTCAAAGTATCACCTTGTCTGAGAAACAATTCTTTTATTAATGAAAAACCCATTGCCATTTTGTCCCGTAGCTTGGATTAAGTACCATAATTCAGAGTAAATCCAGCATCAAACCACGTAAAGACCTTTAGGATCTAGAGATGAAATAATTATATCAGTCTGACTGTGCCAATTGTTCTTTATTGGCTGTTGTTTTACTCTTGAAAGGGGACTTGAAAGGCAGTTGGCCTTTGTGACTCTTAAGAGCTCCTGAGACACCTGGATTCTTGTAGTGCATGTAAAACTATGGGCTAGGCTGTCAGCTGGAGGGGGCTGCCAGGTATGGCAGGTTTGGTGCAGTCTGAATGAGTTGGCTGGCAAGGAACACCTGAAGGGACAGGACTCTGTCCTCTCCTTTGTACTAAGGCCCCTGTTGTGCACAGGGAGCTGGAGAACATGTGTTGGACAGACGAAGAAACTCACAAAGTTCCTGGGTTGGTTGGATGCCACCTTGGGTTGGTTGCTGTGCAGAATTGAAAGATAGTTCCAGGGTTCCCACCGGGAAAGGCTCATGGGATGTACACTAATCCAGTACTATATCTTGTTACTCTTTGGCCCTAGAATTAAAAGAACTTGAAAACAATATCCGGAAGGCCTTGTCTTTTGACAACCGAGGAGAAGAGCACCGGGCATCATCCACTGACGGCCACCTGGCCAGCCCTGGCGAGAATGGTGAAGTCCGGCAAGGCCAGGCCAAGCGCTTGGGCCTAGATGAGTTCAACTTTATCAAGGTGTTGGGCAAAGGCAGCTTTGGCAAGGTCTGTGGCAGTTGTGGGTAGCAGTTGCTTATTTTCTGTGTTCCATATTTCCTCTTATTTTTGATCAGTAAGGAACATCTCAGCCTAGTCTTTTCCTTCTATTGTTTTTAATAAATTAATTTTATTGGTACACTTTTGATATACATATACTTTTGATATACATAATTTTATTGGTACACTTTTGATCACATTTGCTGGGTGTGGTGGTACACGCCTGTAATCCTAGCACTCAGGCTGAGGCAGGAGGATCACTGTGAGTATTCCAGCCTGGAATACATAGTGAGTTTGAGGCCAGGCTGAACCATATAAGGAGACAAGTCTCAAAAAAACCCGTAATGATCATGGTCATTGTAGGGAATTTGTACCTGCACATTATATATATAGATTTTTCTTTATTCCCCATTCCCCTCCCTGCCCTAGAATCCTTTTCCCCCTCCTTATTTACAAAAGCTTCATTTCTAAATTTTTCCTTCCATTCTCTTTTTCCCCTTTGTCTTCCTTGCCTTCATCCCACCCCCTTCCTTGCTCCCCTTTCCATTCAAATATATTTTTCCTACTCCCAGTATCTCTCATTCATTTTGATCCTTATTTATACTTTTGTTTTCTCACACAAGAGAAACAACGTGATATTTTAAACATGTGTATCTGATTTGTTTCACTTAAGAGCAGGGTCTCAAGGTGCATCCTTTTACCTTTAAATGTGAGTTTATCCTTCTTTATCACAGAGTAGTGTTCCTTTGTACATAAAACCCACATCTTCTTTATCCATTCATCTGTTGATGAGCTTCTAGGCTATTTCCAAGATTTAGCAAAAATAAAATGTGCACTATAAACATGGGTGTGCATATATCACTGTGGTATGATGCTTTTAACTTTTCTGGGAAGATACCAAGAAGGGGAATACCTGGATCAAATGGAACCTCTAGTTTTAGTTTTTTTAAGAACCTCCATACTTTTTTCCATAATTACTATACCAATTTATACTCCTACCAGCAGTAGAGAAGGGTTCCTTTTCCCCACACCTTCTTAGCATTTGTTATTGGTTGATTTCTTGATGATAATCATTCTTTCTGGAGTGAGATGGAATCTCAGTGTTGTTTTAATTTGCATTTCTCAAATGACCAGTGAAGTCAAACATTTTTTCATATATTTGTTGTTTGTACATCTTCATCTGAAGAGTGTATTCATTTCAGATGCCCACTTTTCAATTGGGTCTTTAAATTTGGGGGGGTCTGATTTTTTTGAGTTCTTTATATATTCTAGATATTAGTCCTTTGTCTGAGGAACAGCTGGTAGAGGCTTTTTTCCCCATCTGTGGGCTGTCTCTTCACTCTGCTGGTGGTTTGTTTTGCTGTGCAAAAGCTCTTTAGCATGGTGAGATCCCAGTTGTTGATTCTTTATAATAGCTTCTGTGGGAGCAAACATTTCTTCATAAAGCTTTTGCCTCCACCTGTGTCTTCAAGAGTTTACTTATTCTATCCTCCAGCAGATTTCCAGTGTTTTTGTTTTAATATTTAGATCTTTGATCCATTTTGATTTTAGTTCAGTGCATGGTGAGAGATAATGGTCTAGGTCTATCTTTCCTTGTTGAGAAGGAATGGGATGAGCCCATTAATCTTAATTAGATGTGGGGCTTCTTCACAGAGCTACATTCGGAGCCTTTTTATTGACACGGGGTCCTACTAAATTACTCAATTGCTCAGGCTGGCCTTGCTTTCATATCTTCCTGCCTCAGCTTCCCAGAGAGCTAGGATTACCATGCCCACCTACATTTACTCTTAAAAAATTCAGTTTTTCGCATTCAGCCAATGGGCTGAAATCAAGTGTGGAAGCAGGTGTGGAAGTACTTTGAAGGTTTTAAAACACTTTGCATCAGATCCTGTGCAGAGGACCTGAGTTTTGCAGAGCACTGCAGCCTAGATCCTTGCTGTGCAGGACCTGTACACATGCGCTCGCGCCTGCACGGAGGTTTGCTCGGCACCAAGCCGCACTCTGCTCACCACGCTGCCGCCATGCACAGGCTGTGCTGTGGATAGGTTCGCCCATGACTGCTGTGTCCTGGAGCTGGATCCCATGTTTTCTGGGCACAGGTGAGCCGTGAGTTCAACCTTGTGATTCAAGGTAATAAAGACAACCCATAGGCTGGGAATTTAGCTCAGTGTCACCATGCCTACCTCTCAACCATAACAAAGTCCTGAGTCCAATCCCTGGTCCTAGGAAAAAAAAAAGGAAATAAAATAAGATAAAGACGACCTATAAAGCAAAGATGAAAATAATAACCTGGAGAGAGTGGGCTCTTCAACATGCTGGGGCCCGTTACTGGCTGGAAAATGCCAGACCACCCAAAAATGGAAGACATATATGCTTTAATCTCAGCGCTTGAGAGGCTGAGGCAGGAGGATCACAGCGAGTTCAGTGGCAGCCTGGGCTACATCCTGAGTTCGCCTAAATTATGTGGTGAGACCCTGGAAAATGTCTATGGAGAACCTGACAGTTAAAATGAAGTGGATTCAAATTGCTCAAAATGCACAACTGAAGATTTTCTCTGTAAGGGAGAAGTAGAGAAGAAGATATTGCTCCGTATATCCAAGACTTACATGGAGAAAAGCAAAAAACATAGGTGTATTCTCTACTGAATATTCATTCACGGTCTCCAATGCAAAGTGGTATAAAAGTTTACAATTCAAGAAGACCTGTTTCATAAAAGAATAGTCTTTTCTTTGGGACACAGTTGCTTTATGAAGTTGTTGGACAGAGAAAAAGGTTCTCATGTAGTTTTTATTCCTGACTTTTAAACACATATTTCATGAATGTATTTTCTTCTATGATTGTTATTTCTTAAATGTAATAGGACATTTATACCACCTTGAGATTACATTTGTACCAGGTACAAAGTGGAAACAGAGACAAAATATTTTATACTTAGTATGAAAAAACTAATGCACTCAGCATTCCACTGTCAATAATAGTGCCAGTACCTTTCTTTCCTCCTTCAGAGATTAGTCAGAAATTCTGTTATTTCATTACGAAGGCTTTGAGCATGAATTCTAGAGTCTGTCCTCGGTGAAGTTAGGGTCTGGAGAAAATCTTACCATGTAGTACTTTTGAAGTTAAATGTTTAACTGATTTTTCTGGCATTTTGTAAGTGCTCTGCTTATCCTCTACGTGTAGCAAGAGATTGAAATAGTTATCTCACGTCTTAGATGAGAGTCCCTGGCCTTGAGGGCATTGTCCACATTCAACTCTGCACTGGTGGTATGGGTTCTGCCTTTCTGTGTGCGATGCTGGTCAGCCCCTATGCTGATAGCTGAGTGAGATGCAAAGTAGAAAGATAGAGATCCAGTTAGCCCAGGAAGTTGGTTAACATTTTAACTCTGACTCTTGGTTTCCCCTTGCTCTTCTTAAAGCCCTGCCTGGGGGGCAGTGAGAGTCAGCTCTCTGGGATCCCAAAAATCAGAGAGGCCCTGCTCTAAGGATGAGGCAGCTGCTGCGGGGTCACATGGTCTCGTCTGTCCTGTGGGTCAGTCTCCTGGCTGGCTGCTGGTTGGCTGCTGGTCATTCCTCTACTCTGCAGAGGGAAGGGCTGTGGGAATTCCTCAGGGACCTGGGCCTGCTTCACCCCCATCTTCCCTACCGTGTCTCATCCTGACATCGCCTGGCAGGACAGTAACTGGGTTTACTGAAGAGGCAGCAGGTGAAGCAATCACATTCTTTAGAGCCTGTCTAAATGGCACACAAACCCCAGGCCTCTGGCTTAATGTGTGACTCAGGCTTGTGAGCTGGACTTGGTTGAATTTTAAGCAAGATTCACAAACTTGAGCATACTCAAGAGTTTCCAGGCTACTGTGTGGTGTAGGCAGGATGGAACTTTGATGACTCTAGATCATTTAGGTTGTTTCTTCAGAAAAATTCTCGCCCAAAGTTTGAGCCCATTTAGAGCCTGTATTTTGCGTGGGTGGAGGAAAGTCTTCAGGTTAACATCATGAATTCCCTTAAGTTTCTGAATTGCTGCTCTTTAGCTTTGATGACTGACTCTGGAATACTGTCCTTAGGAGTTAATTACTTAAAAAGAGAAACCTTATGATATTGGTAGGTAAATGAGAGTAAAAATAGCAAACAATGGGAAAACACCAAGAAACAGGAGACAAATAATTTACTCCAAAAACAAGAGACAACTTACTCCCAAAGAAATACAACTAGAAAATAAGTGCATACCTTCATTCACTATATTCTAGTTGCAAGTTTAATAAATGTATATGAATATATGAATAATCATTTAACAGAGCACTGTGCCAGAGATTAAAAATACCTAAATAACATAATAATTATATTAGGATGGGTAGTTTTCTTAAACATTTTTAATGCTGTTATCATATTTAAAATTAAAGGAAAAAAGGAATTAGGAATTAGGTTGGTTTATGTGAAGTTAAGTTTTTATTTTTCTGGTACTGAGGATAGAACTCAGGACCTTGAGCCTGACAGGGAGGTGCGGCCCCAATGAGCTACATCCATGGCCGTATTTGGAGTTCATTTTTAAAAGTATGTGGTGTTGCATTTCCTCCTTTTTTTTCCATATACACACAGATGATGGGGGCAATTTTGGTTAATTACAGGTCATGTTGGCAGAACTCAAGGGCAAAGATGAAGTGTATGCTGTGAAGGTCTTAAAGAAGGATGTCATCCTTCAGGATGATGACGTGGACTGCACAATGACAGAGAAGAGGATTTTGGCTCTGGCTCGGAAACATCCATACCTAACCCAACTCTACTGCTGCTTCCAGACCAAGGTATGTTTACAGAGAAGCTGGCTGACCACTCTCTTGGAAAGCACGGCAGGACATCATGGTATCTCAGCTGTCAGATAAAATGTCAGTTTCAGACCCTCTGCATTGGTCTCTCAAAGACTTTGGAAGGTGAAGAGGACTTTACCTTGAAGAGATCAGGGTATGTTTGAACACCTTCTTCTTTTGAAGGTCTTGGGATTTTCTTGGGATTCAAGGCTATGCTTGTGAAGGGATGAGGGAGTAAATGTAACTGGACAAAACCAGATGGCTAAACCCAGTGTTTGTGCTTTGGAAAAACCAACAGGCATGTTTGATCCTTGCTCTGCTCCTACCTTTCTATCTCAAGTCCAATCACTTAACTTCTATGTGTTTTCAGGTCAAAAGAAAAAGAGTAAAGGACACCCTAATCGCTTCTAACTTATGTAATGTCATATGAGGTAAAGGATGTAAACACATGCTTAAAATTCCTCAGTGAAATACAAACAAGGTGGCAGTTTCAGAGTTACCGTGCAGTTGCCCAGGAACCAGAGGTTGGTTAGTAAAGAAGTAAAGATAGTCTAACTACATTATAGAGTCTCACCTCTTGATTTGTTACTTATTATTGGTAAAAGAAAAGAAAAAAAAAGAAAGAAATACACATGTTCCTTATTTTATTATTCTTTTTTCATGGTGGAGATGGGGAGTTAGAGTCTTCTAGGATGTACCATGGACTTGTAGTGTTGAGCTCCTTGAGACAGCAATGACAGCCTCACCCTAACTCCTGCAAGTGTCCCTCTGGCTGGCAGACTGAAGGAGACAGTGTGGGCAGTGATTTCTGGCTCCTTCGCATACTCTTGCCACCATTTCATGGAAATCCCAGTTTCTCCTCTTAGAATTTAACTTTTCTTTTGCACACTCAGTAAAGTTTTATCCTGTTCTATTGCCTCTCTCTCAAGTGCCTGGTGCTGTGACAGGGGCTGGAGAGGCAGAGGTGAACAAGACCAGGGACTTCACAGTTTCTCAAAAGCAAAAACAAAAAAACTACAGCCTTGGAGACACTGCAAAGATGGACTCCAGGGCCCATAGCTCTTCTGGAGAGTTTCCCTGGAAAAACCTGCCATGAAAAATGAAAGAGATTACCCTTGTTTAATTTGCTATTTCCCAATTTAATTGATCCCCACCACTGCACACACAGCACCTATTCCAAGTTGAGAAATACAGATCCAATGAACTTCTCTTATTCTTCCAATCTCTTAGGCAAATAGGAAGTCTCTTTCGAAAAATCTCCAAGTCATTCCGCTTATCTTTCAAGGATATTTTTATCTTTCCTTATGAAACTTTTCTTAGACACTCATGTTGAATAAGAAGAATCTGTGCTTTTCTGAACTGGGCTTACTGACCGGCCTGTGTCTGAGGTATATTGTCTAGTATATATAGGTTAAGGTGACTTTATGTAATAGAGTCCAATGTGATAGCAGAGGCTCAGCAATGGGCTCAGCTTTCTCCTTTTCTCCACCAGTGCAGTCATTCTAGATTTATGAGAAATGTATCATATCCTATATATCTTTATCTTCCGAGGTACCTATCAGAGGACCTCACACCTGGTAGGTAAGTGCTCTCTGTCAGAATTAGAGGCTTGGATGATGTGTTTTGTTTTAGTGCTAGGGCTTGCGCCGAGTTACATCTTCGCTCCTTTATTCAATTTTCTTTTGAGACAGGGTCTTGCTATGTTGTCCAGGAGGACTTGAATTTGTGATCCTTCTGCTTCATCCTGCCAGAGTGCTGGGACTACAGATGTGCTCCACAATGCTCAGTGAAGATTTATTTTTTTAAAGTACCCCTTTTATTCTGTTATATACCAGTGAGAAAACTTGTTTTCAGAGAATTTTAAAATCTTTTGTCCCCAGACACTCCATAGTGGCAGAGTCAGACCTAGTATCTGACTGTTGGCCTCCAGGACCCCCAGCTCCGCTCTGATGCCACTTTGCTACTCTGCCGTGCCCAGGCCAGCATGGTCTCCTCTCTGTGTGAGAATTCTGCCACTTCCCCGCCTCTACCGACACGGCCCCTGGCTGCCTAGGCAGGGCGCCACCCTGGCATTCTTTCTTTGAGCATGTTGCCAAAAGGTCCAGTATCCAGTCTGGTGGGGAGGACTGTGTGGAGCCCCTCTGCGTGGTGACTCGGAGGAGGCCTCAGTTGAAAGTCATCTTGGTGAATGACTGAGAGAGGAGAATGGATGTCTTCAGTGCCAGCAATGCTTCTTTTGTACATTGTAGAAATATCAAGGCCAAGGTTTTGAATAACACCAGGGATTTCATATATGGCAGGGCAATCCTCAAGCTGATGTGGATTTGGGCGCCTTGGGAGCCTGGAGCGTGAGGCTGGGGAGAGGAGAAACGTCTTTTGCAGTTCAGAAATTTGCTGATCTTTTCCTCAGGCCAGTGTCAGGTGGCCATAGGTAGAGGAACAAGTTTGTGCCACCTTTCCCAGGCCACCTCTACTTAGTAGAACACTTTCCTTCGTATATGTGAATCTAATTTTTCCAAAATGAATCAACAGTCTCAAAGAAGGACCTTGACTTACAGATGGAAGCAACCTTAAGAATTAGGATTTTAAAGAATTATCACCTTATAAACCCCCAGTTTAACTTTTTTAAAAATGACTCTTCCGAGCCAGGGATTTAGCTCAGTGGTTCTACCGCCTGCTTTGCACAAGGCCCGAGTTTGATCCCCGGTACCCCCCCACCCACAAAAAGACTTTTCCTATGATGACCTGTAGTCATGGTTTTAAAGAGTAACTATTATTCTCCCAACGAAGGTAGGTAGGTGCTGGGTGTGGAGTTATCAGTAACAAGAAAGCTGATTCACAAGTGGGAGGGTTGCTCAATAGGGAATTAGGCGGCCCTACTAACTTCCCCAGCAAATAGCACTGGGCAATCATGTTCTGTGTGGGATCCTCAAACCAAAAGGACTCAGGAGTGGGTGCTCCTTGGGGTCTAGTGGGGGAAAGGTGTGCAAGCTAGGCTTTGAAAGATGGGGAGGATTTGGAAAGAATTTGGGGTGGGAAGTACAGCTTCAATCTTGAGTTTACTTTTCCTCAAAAAGAAAACACAGTTCCTTCGTCACTATGAACTACTTTTAACTAAGAGTAGTGCATAAATCAGGAACACAAAGACCTCATTTGCAGTCCTATTAAGATTTCTTTCATTCCTGTTTAATTACAACACACAGAGCATTGAGATTGTTGTCAGGTTTAATTATTTTTAGCCTTAGTTTTCAGTGTGTAGAGAGAAATAACTCTTCTGGAAACATCATTCTGAGAACTTCCAGATGGATTACACAGCGCTTTAGGCTGAGTGCTGTGAACAGGTTGCCTGGTAAAACTTGGAGGTATGTAGAGTGAGGGTCCCATATCAGATATAGCAGCTGATCAGTGTGCATTTTGTAAACCCACTGGCATCACGCATGATGCCAGATGTGAGGAAGTCAGGTCTGGTCACTGGAGCCTATTCAATGAACCAGTCACAGTGAGAGACTCATTTGGGCTTTTCTGTTTTCAGCCTTCCTGCCCTTGGGTGAGGTGCTTGCTCTGGTCATTCTCCATGGGCTCTGCAGTGACAAAAAGCAAATAACATGGCTCCAGCTTTCCAGAGATAGTGAGATGGAGCCAACGGGCCAATGAATTGAGCCAATAATAACTATAATTTCAATCACATTCAAAGCGTAAGTTTAACCTGAGTTACCACTTTGCTATGGGCCTTCTAGGATGTTAGAGTAACCTGAACCAAGTCAGGGAAACTACAGAATTCGACCCTGAAGCATGGGTTGCATTGAAAAGAGGATAAGAGCCAAGAGACAGCAGTGAAACCTAGAAATTATCCCCAAATGTCATTTTCATCATTTTTCCAATGCTAGATAGATAGACACCACTGGGTGTCTGACTTCTTCAAAGCAAATGATACAAGGAAGGAGTGGAAGCAAGGGATGGTATTTGGAAAATTAAGGAGAGAAATTCTATCCCTGTGTAATCAGCTGCTGCTTGGCTGAGAGAGGGCAGGGTGGGGCTGTGAGGGCTCTTCAGTGGGGTGAGCAGGGGTGAGGCTGGAAGTCTTGGGCTTGGGCAGGGTCAGGGGTTACTGGAGAAGGGACTTAAGGATTTGCCTAATCTAGGTTCTCTCTCTTCCATTGACTGCCAGGGAAGGAACCACTGAGAGGTAGATTTGTCTTGTTTTTGTTTTTGTAGTTACAGGAAATAAAATTCCCAGGCAATTTTAGATTCTGTGTATTTGTATTTTCTGATCCCTATTGCAAAACCATCCTTTCCAACTGGATCCCACAAAACCTGTCTTGAATAATTGCACCCCTGCATTTTCCCCTGTAAAACTTGTAAACTCCTCCCCCTCCCCCACTGTTTGGCATTTCCTGCCAGGCCTGGGAAGCCAAATCCTGGAGGGCTTTGCTGTGAAGGAAAGGGCTAAACTCTTACAGGATCTCCTTTGGCCAGCCTCCCTCCCTACCCTGGGGGAAATGCCACATGGAAAATCCTTAAAAAGCAACTGGAGACATTTTTCAAACTCAATTTAATAATTTCTCTGAGCTGGGGAGAGCCGCTAAGAATGAGTGTTGACAATGTAGGAGAAAAATTGTAGTTTCAAGGAACTCCGATATTTATTTTTACTTTTTTTTTTTTTATGTGGTACTGAGGATTGAACTGAGGGCCTTCACACTGAGGGAGCTACATCCTCGACTCTTTATTTTGTTACAGGGTCTGTTAAGTTGCTCAATTGCCCAGTCTAGGCTCAAATTTGCATCCCCCTGCCCTAGCTTACTAGAGTGCCACACTATGTCTGGCTTATTTCAACACTTAATGCCAAAGAATAGCAAACCCTAAAGCAAGAAACAAAAACACAGTGAAAAATTAGGCCACTGGTAGATTTTTTTTTTTTTTTTAAGAGATGGCAATATCAGATCTAAAAGAGCTGAGAAAGCAACTCCTCCCTGCTACAGCACAGAATTTGAGGTAGC